TTTAATTATAATATTTTTTTTTGTGCGAGTGTCCGCTGCAGCTAGTGATGTGCAAATTCCCAGGAATTTTATGATGGGAAAATCCCTTGGGAAAATTTCCGGAACATTCCTTATACCGGGAATTTATCGGGAATATTATAATTTTATTAAATTTTGTTCATATTTATTAATTTTATTTCAATATTTAACTAAACTTATAGCTTTAAATGGTCCATGGCCTATATTTTATACACAAAAATATTATTGGAGAAAAGTAAGACATTTGTGTAATTATTAGTAGAATTATTCTTAAAATATTTGATTTGATTAGGATTTAGGTACCTATAAATTTATCAATATAATGAAATTATGTACTAAAGGTTCAGTTGTTGATGCAAAGAATTGACTATAAGTAATTATTTAAACTGCTTGTATATATTTACATTAAACTAAATATGAAATTTTATGTTGAAACATTAGGAATTTTAAATATTTTATAACTAATTATAATTTTTGATTCTGTTATACTTTTCACTGTTTATATTTCAAATTAACTGTATGCTATGANTTGTGCGAGTGTCCGCTGCAGCTATTATGTAATTTTTGGTATTCGTGGCTTCATCCAGTTTCTGAGCCGGTAAAAAATATTTTTTTTTTTAGTAATGTATACGTTTTGCAGTTTTTATTCTATTTTATTAGGTTCAGAAATTTTCCTTTGCCGTTTTCCCGTTTTTCTGAATATATAATTATTTGTTGGTGTATTTCAATTCTCTTATCCTTCAAAAATCACCTTTCCCTAGTTTATAAGGTACGGACAACGGCCTTTTGATTGAGGTAATCCCATTTTTACATGGTAAAGTGACTACTTAGTCACAAGGTTTTAATGTACATCGACTGTCGACGGCTCAACGATAATTTAATACAATTTTTTGTTGTATGACGACTCAAAATATAAAATAATACTTAATTCTTTTTTTAATTAATAAAAATAATTAAATTATCTTCATTTTTTATTTGTATTATTTTATTTTAAATTCTATTGCAGTCCGACTTTATGTCTCGCTATATAATAGAATGGCCACACATTTCAATTATTTTTGGTAAAGACCACAAAAGGTAAATTTTCCATTGTGCTCATAAAATTATAAATTATTATAAATGTAACCTTTAAAAATTTAATTTAAAGACACTCATAAAACGATACTTGAAAATGTTTTTTAAGATACAGAAATAGATTCAATAAATTATTATATTATATATATATTTTTTAAGAACGTTTATTAGAAAATTTACAATCTATACAGCTATATGTACAATAAGTAAACATGTGAATAGGAATAAAATAGACAATGATATGGCGGTGAGGAGGAAGCTCACATTAGAGCCACCTGTGTATTATTAATTTTAAGTGGGTTAAATAATATTGAGAAGGTCTCTTGACCAGTTGCGTTTGAGGCGCCTATTTGGATTGCCCGGAAGAATTGTTGAGTGTAGCTGAGTAACGAGACGGTTTGGATGGTATTGAATTTTGAATTGTAGTCTTTTGTAGCATATGTGTAGTATATTACACGAAAATATTTTTGAAATAAAAAAAATTTACTGTAAAACATGATTTATTTAAGTGAACTAAAAATATTCCAACGAGTAAAAAATTCTTATATAAGAATTGATCACTTGTGTCTAATATAATTTAAAATTCAAAATATTTTCAGTATTTATCATGAAATTAGTATATCTATAGAAAATAAGTTAATTTCAAGCGTTTTTGTAAAATGTACATTGTACAAAAAATGATACAAGTGTCTTTAATAATATAAGCAGGTTTAGGTTTTAAAATATCCTTGGTGTAATTATATATAGCAATATTTATATTCTTGATATTTTTTTCGCTATTTTTTTATATTTAGAATAATAACACCTAATAAAATAAAAATTGTTACATCGAGCAAACGTGTTAACTTGTCTTTAATAGTAACCATACTAAATTTAAATGATCGTAAAATAAATAATAAATGAGTTATTTTAAATGTTCTATTAAAATTAGTAATATTAATTTGTGTGTTAAATTGCTAATGTTATTGCGTTATACTACATCATAAAAATGAAACAGTGCAAAATATATGTCAATACTCAATACGAATAAATAAATTTAATTTAAAAAACACTTGTATAACTATATTTAAAAATAAATAAATTGTTATACTATACTACACAAAAATAACTAAAGGCATTATTTGAAAAAAAAAATATGATTTCTGTAAAATATGATTTATTTAAAAAACCTGAAATATCTCTTCATGAATATAGTCCTTTTAGCCTCGATGTGAAGCTGAGAAGGTATTGGTTTTACTATGATGTGTTTTTTTTTGTGTCTGTTATCACTTTTCTCAGCTTTCATCTAACCGATTTCTTTCAACGATTCGTCAAAATATCACAAATCATATCTAGTCGAAGACATTACCCTCAAAAATTGAAAAAAATTCCCTCTTTTCCCGTAAATGGTAGAAATCTCCAAAAAAATTACAAATTTAAAAATGGCTAATTTTCGACATTTTTTCAATTTTTTTACTTAGAACTGCCATAATTTTTTTAAAAATAACCAAATCAATATGTATTTTTTTTTTTATATAAATTTATGTTGTCTTTACCTTTTATTTGGAATATTTTTCTTATAAATCTAACTCTTTACCTGCTCACAGGGGGAGATTCAAAATGACAACTTTTTAACAAAAAATTTACTTTATCAACTTAACTTTTAAAAGTGTTCCGGAATGTCTGACAATTTTATATATATCTTAAATTAAAGCTAATGTATTGTACTTTATAATGAAAAAAAAAAATTCGCACTTTATTTTGTTTTCACGGTGAAAATGGCTACCAAATGCTATATTTGTGTGAAAATTCTCGATTTTATTTTTTACTTTTATAACTTTATAATGCTATAACTTATTGAAAAGTATATGGATCAAAACAATTTTTTTATGAGAAATAATATTTGTATCTCATTTTCTTTCAACATACTTTATCTTAATCAGAATATAAATAAGGAAATAGCATAGTATATTATTGTATATTGATCTCTTTTATCCGAAAAACTCAAAATTACAAAAAAACATTTTTTGTAAAATAAATATTTATCACTTGTGGCTTATATAATATAAAATTAAAATGTATTTAAAATGTTTTTCTGTAGGAAATAAATTATAAACATGTGTATTATCTATAATATCCTTAGAATATTAATTAATTTGAAGAGTTTTTGTTTAATTGTTTACAATTGTGATTAATAGTATAACCGTTTATAGGTATTTTATAGTCCTTAGCAAAAGCGTAGATAAAAATTTTTACATTTTTTTCGGCCACCCTTATCCTAAATATCCATTTGACACGATCTCTCACATCCTCTACGTTCACATCAGCTGTCCTAATGTCGCATGCAATAACATCTCTCCATCTTTTTTTTTGGTCTTCCTCTACCTCTTCTTCCTTCAACATTAATTTCTACAACTGTTCTTACGGCTTCCGATTCTTCTCTCTTCTTAACATGACCAAACCATCTAAGTCTATTTTCTCTCATCTTATCCACGATTGACGCTGCATCAAAACTCCCTCTTATATGCTCATTTCTTATCTTGTCTTCTCTAGTCATTCCACACATCCATCTAAGTATACTCATTTCTGCTACAGTCATTCTCTTCTCTACTTTCTTATCAATCGCCCAACACATCATAGCTGGTCTCACTACAGTTCTGTAGAATTTACTTTTCAGCCTCATTGAAATTCTTTTATCACATAAGACGCCAGACGCTTCTCTCCACTTCAACCACCCGGACTTAAACCTGTGTCTAATACCCTTGTTAATTTCACCACTCTTTTGCACAACTGATCCTAAATACTTAAAACTTTTCACCTTTCCAATCATGTCTCCGCCTATTGTCACTGTTCTCCTTATTTCACCTATCTCGTGTTATTCTTTATCAAACTCGTACTCTATATACAACTACTTATTCTTAAACTCTTTTATTCAAGAGCTGATCTCCACACCTCTAGCATTTGATTAATTTCCTCCCTATTTTCTCTTATTAAAACTATATCGTCAGCAAATAACATGCACCACGGCACCTCTCCTTGTATTTCTCTAATAATTTCATCCATCACTATAGAAAATAAGTAAGGGCTTAATCCAGAACCCTGATGCACTCCTACTCTTACCCGAAAACCTTCTGTTACTTCTCCCACACTTTTTACCCTAGTGCAAGTGCCATCATACATATCCTCTATTATATTAATATACCTTTTCACTCTCATTTATGCCCACTTTAGAACCTCTCTCAGTGCTCTATCATACGCTATTTCCAAATCTATAAATACCATGCAAAGCTTTTTCTTTTCTAAACTTTTCTATTATCCTTTTTAATTTTAAATCTAATTTATTTTATTGTGTGAGTAATTTAAATACATATATATTGAAAACATATGTACTTAAAAAAAATTAAACTTTCATAAAAAATTTTTTATTAGCACTTTAAAATTTTTTAAATTAAAAAAAATGATTACTTATCTTAAATTTCTTAACTAATCCGCTTATAACTACGATATTGATTAAGTTTAACTAAGATGCACTTTTTACTAATACATTTTATACATTGACGGGAAGAGTAGTGCCATTCATAAACGACTATATTTAAAATGAACAAATCCAGAAATTCCAAAACTATGGTTTGAAAGTCATTAACGAAAGGTTATTTTGTTAGTAAGATCATTTATATTAATACATTATTTATTCTAATTTTTAATTTGATTAAACATATAATAATTTTATTATAATATTATAAAATATTAAGGGATACGGAGAATAGAACACAACTTTTTTCTAAAAATTATAGAACGTAGGTTATTATTAATTTCTGAAAAGAAAAAATAATATATAAAATTAAATTTCGTATGTCATAATTCTATAGTCACTCTGTATTCTTAAATATCGTAGGTAATAAATAATTTAATTTATAATGTTTACTTATTAAATTTTATTTTACAAGAGTTTTTATAAAGACAATTATTTTTGATACGATATTTGTATGAAGAAAATTGTGGAAGTATTGCACCAAAAAAATAGTCAAAAGAGAAATATGGTTTGTACATTGCAATGTTATAATAAGTTATTGTAGTTGTAAATATGTTTTCACTTTTTTATAGAATTATCCAGTTTTGTTGAGTTTGTGTTTGATTGTTTTTACTGGTAAAAAATAATTTTAATAAAAATAAAAATAGACGAAGAAATATTTAATTTTTTCTTTTGTGGAGGTAAAAAAAATGTAATTTTTGTAGCAATAGAATTATGGTTTCAGATTTTGTATCATTTAAGTAACATTTTTGAAAGAATTTTACCTTGTCTCTTAAACGTGATTATTAGAAATTTATAATTTACTTATAACGTAATCATTAACTCTAAATTACATTTATGACTATTGAAATCTTGAATTTATTTTTACGAACAAAAGTTATACGCACAAATATAATTTTTTAAAATAGAATGTGGTTTTCTTAAGTCAGAGTATAAAATTTTAGCTTCAGAGAAGATAACATAAATCCCACTTAAAACACAGTCCAATAATTTGATTTTATACGTTACATTTATTTATAATTATAAATTTCATAGCATTTATTTCATAAAACTGTTATTTTAAAATGAATAATATCTATGTTTCTTAGAGAAAGGTAATTTAGGACCACATGAGCCAGGGGTGTTCATCATAGACATTTCAGTAAAAGTGTTTTCATTTTTTTAATGTGGTATGCAGGAGAGGTCGAAAAATAATCGTTGGGAAATGAGATTTGTTTCTGAGTACCGTACTCAGTTAAAAATTTGGTATCATTTCTAAATTACGATTTATTTTTATACGTTGTGTCGTTGCAATATACAACAACAAATATGTAACGTATGAGATAATAAATACTACTTTAATTAAATCTATTTGTTGGTTACACATCAATATGTTATCGAGAAATTGTGTTGTGATTATTTATGATATCCTTGTGTTACACTGGGTCGTGGTCGGTCTTCTCTCTATGTCTGTGTTGTAGCCGCCATCTTAGCGTGTATACGCATATATTCAACTATAAGCTCTATGGTACTTGTGAGCAAGTATTTTGTTTTCGTTTTGTTGTAAAAGTAGAATATCATCTTTGCGATCGTCGCAAAAATATCACCGTTGGGTCTATGTACTTTTTGAGATACATCAAAATACCGTTCTCAGCATTTTGTACACGTTGGTCAACTACTTGCATTTGATTTCTATTGATCCTTGCAATATACAACATTATCATCCACCGTTTTAACTAGCCGAAAAGTATAATTCTTGTTAATTTTCTTTTTAAGCTTACTCACATTCATAGTTTATTAGTTGTTTATATCAACTCCATTGTGTCATTAGAATTAAGTGCCCCCCTGTCAACAATGGTGTATATAACATTTTATGATTCATGTATATTACATTTAACAATTATAAATTGTAAATTCATTCATGCAGTCCACTCACTATATTCCTTTTCTTCGATGTAGACTGACTTAAGACAAATAAAACAATGAGCGTTAACAAACCCGCGTAAATACCACTTGCTGCGTTCATTCACTATTATAAAACGATAAAATAAAATAAATTAGAATATATTACATATATTACCTTAATTTATGTATTTTTGAAGCATATGGGATACCAATCAATAACCGAAATGAAAAACGTAAGTTAAAAATTAATTAACTCTATATTATAATAAAGAATTCAAGTTTTGTTTTTGGCTATATTATTTAATATATATATAAAATTATTGAATCTGATAATAATAAAGATGAAGAAAAAAAAATGTTTTTTTTATTACATACTACCAATCTCCGTTAGTGGACAGTATATCTACATAAGAAATAATAATATTTTGTGTAATTTTATTTTTAAATTTCAACAATTCTTTAAACAATTAATAGAAGGAGTCTAGGAAAGCATATACAGCTTTTTTAGTGTCTCTTCGACCTTACATTTATGTTTCGTCATTAAAAATATTTAATATTATTAAAATATATTTTTTTAATTGAAAATTAAATGATTATAATTTAATATAAAAATATATTTATTAATTTTTATATGTGATAACATATGCTATTCCAGACGATAATCAAATCGAAGAACGTAAGTTAAAACTAAATCGAGTTTTTAAATGAATAAAAATGAATTTGGAATTTAATAATGATAGTTAATCTAAATTAAATAAAAATATCTTTCTTTTGAGATTTTTCTTGAATAATACTCAGATTATTTAAGTAAAAGTGTTAATGCGGCTTCACATATTTCTTTCCTCTTAATTAACAATTATTAATACTCAATAGTTACTTCAACATACCAAAATGAGACAGAAGGAACTATANCTTCAACATACCAAAATGAGACAGAAGGAACTATACAGGAAAAGATAATATTTTTTTTTTATCGACAAATAATTGATTATGTATTAATGTATTATATGTACACTTTTATATATATATATTATATCTTTTATTCAATGTTCTATTACAAAAAAAAATTATTTTAATTTAAATTTTTCAAATAAAAGTTATACGCACTTAATGTTTTTAGAAAAAGTAAAGTAGTTCTGCGATAGCAGTTATCTGGTACGCATGTGTTTTTTTTGCGCTCCCGATATCTTATTTTATTTTAATTGTTTCTCTATTTTAATTAATTAATTCACTTAATACCTGTAAACGGCGTTATGTAAATGTGGTATTCGCGTTTCTGAATCGTTTACTAGCATAATTAACACGTTAAGTTGAATATATATCACTCGTTATCGGCGTATACGCCAAACACACTGAAGTTCATCACGGCCGACGCGGCGGCGGCCTTGATAATTTTATAGTTAATAATTTTAGTTATAATTTTTAAAACGTAAACAAATATACATTTAAAATGAAAAGAACATTATAGAATTTTAATTGATATCTGACAATGTTTAACATTACTATTACAAATAATTGCTATGTGATGACATAGCCATAGTGACATTACGAAAAAAAATTTGGGTAGTGGGAAACCAGCCCCTCAATATTTTGACTATAGAATAAACACTAATTTGTAAAAATAATCTCCTTGAAAACATTGTTTTGCAACAATTCATATAGATTTGCGTTTTATACAAAAAATTGAGTTATTAAAAAAAATATGTTTAAAATATTCTATAATTTGTTTAGCCAATAACTTGCCCTCAGACGATACAAGTAATAATAAATATTAATTAAATTAAGTTATTTATAAATTAATCAATTATTATACATATAGTTAATATATCCATTGTATATTACTAAAAATATCTTTGCCCTTATTGTGCCTCCTCAAAAAACACGTAAGTGCTTGACAAAAGAACTATAAAAAATTACTTTATTTTGCTCATTAATATTAATACCCCACGCAAAATTCATAAATACAGACCTGAGCGTAACATTGAATTCTATAATTAATAAATGCCGAAAATTCTGGTACGGGAAGCTGCCTACCATAGATAAAGCTAAA